TTTCACTTCAGTTATATGGATAAGCAACAAGAAATTGGGTATTTTTGTGCCACATTTTCATGATATTTTATGCTGCCAAGGCCAAATGTCCATTTTTAAATTGTAATATGGAACTCCACCCAGATGACCCAAATGCCCAGTATCTTCAATTGTAGTTATGGCCTTGTCGCTAAGAAATTCTTCGAAACACCTGCCAGATGCAGATTCCCATCAAGGACTAGTCACCTTCCATATCTTCCTGACAAACATTGCTAACAAATAAGCACAAAACTATAGGACCAAAGAGATAACTTTTTTATATGTATGCCTAACATTTAAGTCTAAAACTTGTGTGTAATATTCATGGTATGTTTTCTTAGGTGTATAATCACCTGAAAATAAAGCATACACAAATACAATATATCTGTAATATATCAATAATTATTAATTAAATTTAAAAAAAAAAAAAAAAATGTAATCAGTCTAGCTCTATTGGATCATTATTTATTGTAAGTGTCTCATAATCAAGCAAAAAGACAAAGCAGAAAGATTACAAAAGGGATAAAGAGAGGACACCAAGTCAAACCAGTGGCCTTTAATGACCTCAGCCTTCCTCAGATGTTGTCTTGAGGGCAGCTTAAGGACAAGTGTTTGTGAGTATAAATGTAAATGAGGAGAAAAAGCACAAAGTGGTTCAGGATGCTGGCTTTGGTAGAGAGAACCTTACGATGGATGAACACTCCAGTGAATAATGTTTGGCTAAAATAAAACTGTGCCCCTAACTTAAACATACTGTTTGTGACTCAAGATAGTAGATGTTGTGTATGCAAAATTCAAGTATATCGATATTTTCTTATACCCCTATCTAATACAGTGCAAATATAATTATAATTTTTTTTTTATTATCATGTTTATTTTGTATTTTCAGTTTCATAGTATAAGAGATGCTTTTCAGTTTTATAGACTATTGTGACCTACTGTCTTTTGGGAAAGTGTTTGTTCAGTGCTGTTGCAGTGTAATACAGAAATGTTTGAAATGTTCCCTATTTTTAATGTATGTTTTTATTTTTATAATAGAATACCCAAGTTTCCAGTGGGCAAAATGCTACTTTAGTCCCCAGCAAAAGGATTTTGTCTGTCTGTGACTAACTGAACCAAAGTCATGTTTCCTAGAAAAGAAAGAAAAGAAGAAAGCGCTACTGTTCAAAACACGAATCAAAAAGCAATGGGAAATACAAAAAAGAACTGACGTACCTAGCAAACATCAAATATATGAGCACCATATATGAGGTGGATAAATAATATTTGGTAATTGAAAACTAAACTGAGCAAACAGAATGCCTGTGAATGTGAATAGCTCATTAAAAACCAGCCTGTCTCTCTCAGGCTTATTCAAAACTGGTATTGTGACTTTCTATTGTGTGTGGAACCAGAAACTAAACAGTGATATGCACCTGAAAGATAGAGATTTTAAATCAGCCCTGAAAGGCACGTTGAACACAGAACAAGGGCCCTTCCTGGTGAGAGCAGGTCTTCCATTAGGAAGATAGACACATGGTGCAGTGAAAAGCAAGAGCAATTGGCTCACAATGGTTCAAATGAGGGAATATTCAAATGTAATGAAAAGCATTAGCATACATGAGACAAGCGCCTGTTTTCATAAGGGAAGCTCTTTTCTGGCAATCATCAGGGAAAAAAGGAGTGAGAGAGAGAAAGATGGCGATTGACCTTTTCCAGATGGTATAGCCTTTAATCCTTACTACAGAGTCCTGCTGGGGACATGCAGGCTGGAGAAGTCTGATAAATCTGGCTCAAATGCCACCGTGAATCTGCATTTTCATGCGTATATTAACAAAAAAGGGATACAAGTGCTTTGAAGTGGGTCCACTTGAAGTGGACTGTGCTGATGGCTATATTGGTTGAGTGTTGGGGTGGTATGGTTCACATATTCATTACTTATTGGATTGCTGCCTGCACCTTAAACTGACCAGTTCTGTATTTGTGTTTGCATAAATGTAATGTGCATGTGCGACAACTGTATTTTTGATGTGTAGCACTTTCACAGCACTGAGATTGGGTCGCAGTTTGCAGGGGATTTTATTTGGATTGAATTTTTAAACATTCTTTTTAGATTTAGATCTGTCATACACCTTTGAGTCATATGAGAGAGCTTGCTAGTATTTCTACCACACTCACAGTTTTCGACATACTAATAATAATAAGATTCTGAAGCCAGCCACAATGTATGGATGCTTTGCTAGAAAGGCCATGCTAAAGTCCAGACTATTCTAACATAGTCAAACAGCCCGACAGGAAAACGGTAAAGTGACTCCAAGTTGGCAATAAAAACAAAGCCCCAACTAAAACCAGACTACAGCGAACGTAACCAAACTACTGGTCACGTTCAACCCCCTGATGATGGCACAGATAGAAGGGTTGAGGGATCAGGTGAGATCCACCTACTAAGAAGACAGAATCAGGGGCAAGGCAATATGGTTATGTTAATTGTTCCAATCCAAACCAGGAAGCACAGCTGATGTGTGTTATATGCAGCAAAACTCAAGCAATTGAGAGTTTAAAGCCGACCAAACTAAGACATTTGGAAAACCTTCATCTCGAGTTGGCAATTTAACCACAGGATTTCTTTCAAAGGAAGGCAAAGATTAAATGATGGCTTTCATAAAAATGAGAAACAGCCCCACACACAAAATTAATCCTGCCTGCTGCAATAGATGATGATGATAAGCACAGTTATTTTTGAAAAGCTGAAAATAAAAAATAATAAAAAAACTGACCATGTGTCTTAGTAAATTTGATTTGAGGAGTATTACATTCTATAATAAATAATAATAAACATTTTTAATAAATAAACTGAAATTTAAATTCATTTTTTTTTTGTTGCAAACTAAATATTAACCTTGAACTACTGTACTATAAAATAGAAACATACCTAAGAAAGCATTATGTGAAAAGTGTCCTGAGATAACTTCTCTTAAAATTTTATATAAATGAAATTGAATGAAAACATAGGTCGCCTATTTAACAAATGTACAATGAGCTGCCATTTTGTAATGAGAGAAGAAAAGAAAAGAAGAAAAATGTTTTTTTTCCCTCCCCTCCTTAACAGGAAGCCCTGATATTTGACTGCCCCCTGCTGGATGGAGATTGAACTCCTCCAAAGTCATTAAACATTATGTGAAAGAACAGTGCAGGACAATTACTGCTCAACAGCACACTTTGAGCCATCGCAAATGTCATTCAGAGGTGTGTGGTGAGGATAGCTGCATCAGGCCTTGCTGGAGCCAGAGCCAGTAATTAGGGCTGACATTTCACTCTAAAACGGTCATTAGTCACCTCCAAACAGGCCTGATGTGATAACTGTAATATCTCTAAATTGCAGCAATTAGAAAAGGTTTGCCGGAGGGGCTTGAAAATTTCTTTGCCACTCAAAATGTCAACAATGGGACAATTTCATCAGTGGAAGGAAAATGAAAATAAGCTTGTATTAATGTGTCAATAAGACAATGTGTCCAATTGCATTTACAGAGAAAGTGTTGTTGTTATACTTCTGGTATACTGGTAGCACTCAGCAACAGGTGAATATTTCTAAATGAATATTGTGAAATGGCAGTTGCTCATGGTAGAACTGTTGGGTCTCTGTGAATAATGTTATAAGGATTTCGGTCTAGACCTGCTCTATTTGAAAAGAGTCCTGAGATAACTTCTGTTATGAATTGGCGCTATATAAATAAAATGTAATTTAAATTGAATTGAATTGTTGTATTATATTTGCTACCAACACATATCTTACTGTTACAGCTCTTTGGGTAGAAGATTAACATTACACAGCATTTGCCATCTCTCAGTTGCTCTACAGAGATCTGAATGAAATACACAAAGTGAGTATTGGGTCATGAACCAGTCTCATTTTGTTGATACTCAATCAGTGTTCTGTTATTGGGTGGAAGATGGTGATGCTGCTATGCTGTAGTCAGTTTGGGTCATGGGTGTGGGATTCCTGTCTTACTTTTACATTGTTCACTACGATTAATTTTTAAGTCATGAGGGTTCATCCCATTGACATATATAGAGATGGGCGACATGACAGCTCAACAAAAGTGAAGCCAAAACGTCTTTATCGCCCCCTGGTGACTGACTGCAGTATAGGTCATAAAGTTCCCCTTTTTAGCAGATGGGGCATGGGCCAAACAAACAAAAAAAACACATAAAAACCCCCCCCCCCCTAATTTTAGGTAGTTCTTATCATGCTTTTGTATGTTTAAGAGTTCATTTTTTGGTCAGTTTGGTTTTAATTAGTTTGCAGCTATAAAAAGGGCGTTTAGTCATGATTGACACCTGAGTCCTGCTCACGATTGAGTCAGCCAGATGTATGGGCAGGACTTGGATACTGTGGCACCAAACCCGATCATTACTGTGCAGACTCTGGCACTATTTAGCAAAAGATGTATCCAAGATATTTTGGTTTCACTTTTGTACAGGTATGAAGTGGAGACGCAACGTCCATCTTTTTATATGTCAATGGTTTGGTCTCAACACCATCTGCATTACGTTCATGGTTTTAACTGTATTTAAAACACATAGACATGCATGTCATTTTTGACGTTGGTGAGTTTTTGGGTCATTTTTAACTATTAACCTTTGTAATTAAATGTATACATAGATTTGGGAAAAAAAAAACAATTCTAAAACTAGTTTCCTGGACCTTTAAAAGGTCCATTGTGAAGGATTTAGTGGCATCTACTGGTGTAGTTGCAGACTGCAACTCCCTTGCTTCACCTTCGCCTTCCAAGCATGAAGGAGAAACTACAGTGGCCGTGAAATTCACAAAAAATGCAAAAGGCACTATCTAGAGTCAGTGTTTGGTTTGTCTGTTTTGGACTACTGTAGAAACATGGTGGTTTAACATGGCAGATTCCATAGAAGAGGACCCGCTCACTCTGTTGATAAGAACGGCTCAGTCTAAAAAGTAAAGTCAGATGCTGAAAGGGAGAAGAACTTACCCGCTTGATGGAGCTGCGAGTCTTCTCCTTCCACTGGTGGCTGCTCAGCTCCAGCGTGCAGTGAACATAGGTTTCTCTGTCATAAGAGCCCAGTATGAACAGTCTGCGGAGACATGAGACATACAGTAAGAGAACTACAGCAACTGTAAATACACCAATCAGCCAAAATATTATGACCGCTGGGACAGAGCATCTCCAAAACTGCA